CGGGCCTCTCACTGTCGTGGCCTCTCCCATTGCGGAGCACAGGCTCCGGACGTTCAGGCTCAGCGGCCATGGCTCACGGGCCCAGCCTCTCTGCAGCATGTGGGGTCTTCCTGGACCGGGGCATGAACCCATGTCCCCTGCATCGGCAGGCGGACTCTCAACCACTGCGCCACCAGGGAAGCCCTTGTGTTACAACTCTTGTAACTCTTGTCCTCTCCTCTGGATCTCATGTTTTCCCAGCACCCGTCTTACCCTTTTGCTTTTCACACTTACACAGTCGTCACTTTCTTTAAAAATCTTAGGCTGGTTCTGATGTGGGTTTTACTATCTTATTTCTCTTTGATGAAATGACTTTCATTTACAGACTTCTTTTAACTGATTGTTACTGTGCGTCAGCTTTGAGTGAGCCCACCAGGTGCTGGCTGGGAAGATGAGTGTAAGCCGTTAGAAAGCTAACCATCCCGTAGGGGCGATAAGACATTTTTGTACACTTAAGTGCAGTAGAAAGTGCTGTCCTACATATGATTAGTGTAAATAGGTACCTAAGAGGAAGAAAAAAGTTATTCCCGGTTTCAAGCCAGGAAACAAGGCACAAGAGTAGAGCCTTGAGCAGAAAGGTGAGAACGAGAAGAAAGAGATTGGTAGTTCAGGAGAGGATTTGTGTTGGGCCGTGATCCGTCTGGGGTCCAGGCGGCCTTTCCCCGTGCAAACAGGCTGCACACAGGTGGGCGACTGGCTCTCAGAAGGAAAGGACACTGATTCTGATTTGATGGAATGTTCTTGCAGATGTTGTGATGCAGATATCATCATATTTATACCACTTGGGAGTACAGAGATTTCAACCACAACACTGTTTCTGGAATAGCAAGTTAAGCAAGTAAGACAAGGAATCAGAATTACAGATTTCTTTTGGAGGTTCCTGTAATAGGAAATGACTACCATTTCTAAAGAATTGAGAATCTTGTAAGACCTCTTTGTTCAAACCGTACTTCGGCGGAAAAGTTTGTATCAACAGGACAGTTTACAAACTCTGACGACTCACGTGGGTCATTGTATGGCCCAGGAGAACTGGAATGGCGTTTGGGGGAAAAGTTTTCCATTTATCATGGTACTAAATCACATTCTCTGAGCTAGTTTTCTGAGACAGAACTGTTTTTTTCCCTTCTGTTGACCCTTCCTCTCTTGCTGAGACTGTAGTTGATTTTGAAGACTTGTACGTTTAAGGCCAGGATCTGAACATTGGTTAGTTAGCATTGTAATCACACACAAAAAAAAGGAGACGTTAGTTTTTTTAAAAAAAGAGAAGAAATTTTTGCTAAATAAAATGGAGAAAGAGTCAAAGTGAGACTTCCATAATAGCGCTGAGATAAGGATCATATAGCGTTTCCTTCAATAGGCTCTGTCCCCTCTTTGTCTATTTTGGCCACATTTTATCTTAGATTTAAATCTCTGTGAGCTCTCTCACCTCCTGCACTTCGATCTCTTTCTCCAGTCTCCTGCTAAAACCATAACATGCACTACTTGGTCAACATTTAGGTGTGAAAACTCACATTGTGTCCTTTAGGATTAAAGCTACACAGATTTGGGAATGGAAGGCCAGTGGGTCATATAAAACAGCTTTCGAAACAGTATACTTTTTTTGAGGATTTTTTCCCATCTGATTACATTTTGGAAGATTTCTTCATACTGGTATGTAATTGAAGAGATATTTACCTTCTTAAAAATATCTTTTAGACTCACGGGCTCTTCCAAAGACCAAGGAGTTATCTTCAAAGAAGAGCTTCTGTGAAGAAAAGTCATCCCAGGCGGTGCTAATGGAGAGGCCCACAACCTACAGTCTGGAGTGCTCCGTTCTAGGGGAAGACTGGGGTTACAGTGCTGTGTTGGAGAGGCATCTGGTGAGTCAGGGTGTAAATGGAGGGGGAGACACGCTTACAGATAAGTTGCATGAGGTAGACTTGGCGAGATTCCTAGTAAGGCACTTACAGAGGCAACGCTGATGACTCCCAGGAGCTTCCTTGTGTCCTTCACAAAGAAACCCTTCCTTAGGAAAGCGATCTTGTCTGCAGTAAGTGTGGGAGAAGTTTCCGTTGGAATCCAGGGCTGCGTACCGACAGAGTGTCCCCCCAGAAGAGAGAGTACCTGCAGTCTTGATACACACAAGGGGAGACACTGGGTCACAGCAAGTCGTAAACAAGTCTGTTTAAATCAGAAATGTTCAACTTGTAACGGATGTGAGAAAACTTTGAATAGGATCTCAAGCCTTCCTTTTCATGAGAGATTTCATATGAGAGAAAAACCCTTTGCAGACTTAATTGAACAACGTTTGTTGAACGTCAGGAAGCCTCCAGTGAACTTCAGAAAATCCATACCCTCTGTACCTTCATTCTCCTCCAAGAAATTATAGATTCTCCATGGCACAAACAGTTTCCCCTATTTTTCTTTTCTTTGCCCCTAAACATATACGACATAACTAGCTCAGTCGTCATGTGACCAGCATCACTCAGAACCTAGTGAAAATTCTTGGTACAGAGCGCCTCTCACAGCATGTGGATGCAGCCCACCCCACAGAGCCATCGTGAGTTCACGAGCACGGTTTGATGAGAAACGTGTTTGCACCGTTTCAGGGCTTGGTCACCATCACGAACATGGCTGTAGACGTCTCGCAGCAGCCAGACCCAACTCGGAAGAGCTTCTGTAAGAATGTTGTGTGGGAGGACCACAATCTGGGGGCAGTAGGTAAGGATGTTCCTCTCCCAAATCTGAATCTTCAGGAGCCCCCATTTTCATTCCTCAGTTTTGAATTGTGTGTGTGTTTGGGGGTGGGGTGGGGTGGCGGGGTTGTCTTTCAAAGCACTGGGTTGAATTTTTACTCGCAATTCTTAAGAGTGTGACGTTTGTAGAGTTGAAAGTTAGTATCTTTGTCATACTTGAAGCATCAACTTCAATATCCTTAAAATACTCTTCACTTTTCTTCCTGGTCCTTCCTGTAATAAAGCGCTCTTCCTTCAAAGCCAAGGAATTGGTTGTCCATTTAAGAATGCCAAGGGTATGACCGAAACCCCTGTCTTTTCCCATGTGCAGGACGTTGTGTGTCTGAGCCAGACTTGGTCTCTTTGCTGGACCTTGGGAAGGAACCCTGGGTGGTGAAAGGAGAGCTGGCAAGAGGCCCATCCCCAGGTGAGCGTGGGAGGCCTGGGGTGGAAACGCCACTGCAGGCCAGAGTGTAGTTCTCACCAAAGAGGCCAGGTGCTACCTAACGTACAGAGAAAGCCCACCACATCCTCGGGTCTGGAAAGAAGATTGAGATCTGAGCTTTGAAAATTACATTGTTCTCTCCTCCCCTCCCCTCCTCCTCCTCCTCCTCCTTCCTCCCCTCCTCCTTGCCCCCCACCCCACCTTCTCTTGGTTGATAACTCCTCCCTGTAGTTCTGCTCCTGTCCTTGGCCACTCAGACATGGATCAACCACTTGGTTCCTTAAATGATCTCTTCCAGACCCCGAGGGTTTCTGGAGCTGTCTTCCAAAGGTCTGATGTTCGTGGTCAGATGGCCACTCACTTCGTGATGCATCCATTCCTGTAAGAACCACAAATTGAAGGAGGGAGCCACTCGGCTTGACATTGGCAGGCGATTGGAGAACGAGGGAATTTACACTTCTGTCCTCAGCCATCAAATATTTACTCCCATGGAGGGGATGACATGTGCATGGATGACTTGCATAAACCAGAGCTTGTGAAGTTCCCAACATGGCCTTACAGAGGCAAAGGAGAGGGCTCCCCCCAGAGAATCCTTGTCTGGGTTGGAGAGGGTGGGCAGATGGATTGCAAGAAGACGTGGGCGGAGGGCCATTTCTTTGATACACAAGGAAGGAAAAGAAACTTCTTTTGAAAATAATGGTTTTCAGAAAGTGTAATCCTGTCACCTGTCTGGGAAAGGAATAGGAAATCATAACCCATAATCACAATATAACATAGACAACTTTAGGCCCTTCAAGCCCTGATGAACACGTATGTTGTTTTACGTGGTAGAAATAGAGTTTGCATTCCATCCTGCGTACCGATGTTTTCACGTGAGTTCCATGTTCCGTGTGCCACTGCTCAATTAGGTTGCATCACATTTCTTGGTGTTAAAAATATAATAGGCACCTTTATTAGTTAGTTTATTAGTTAGTGAAGGCTGTACCTTTTGGGGATGCCTGTATCCCTGGAAGTGATAGTCTGCTGGGCTCTGAGAGTTTTCTGTTCTAGTGACTCTAGCAATGACCAGATGACTAGATGTATGGGTTTAATTGCATCATCGTAGCATTGGGTAGTTTGGTGAAAATGTTTAGCTTATTATTTGGTGAAAGATTATGGCCTTAGGTTATTTTTTTATTATGAAAATGTGTTGAATACTTTCCCCAAATTTTGTTATTTATCCTTTTGTAAAATGTTCCTCATTTATATCCATTTCTCTATTGTGTCTTAAATTTTTTTTGTTTTTGATTTTTTTTTTAATATCTGGCTGTGTCCAGTCTTAGTTGTGGTATGCAGGATCCTTCATTGTGGCGCGCGGGCTTCTCTCTAGTTGTGGCATGTGGGTTTTCTCTCTCTAACTGTGGTGCGTGGGCTCCAGAGCGTGTGGGCTCTGCAGTTTGCAGCACACGGGCTCTCTAGCTGAGGTGCACGGGCCCAGTAGTTATGACCACGCAGCATGTGGGATTTAGTTCCCTGACCAGGGTTCAAACCCACATGCCCTGCATTGGAAGGTGAATTCTTAACTACTGGACCACCAGGGAAGTCCCTATTTTTTTGTTTTTTGTTTTTCTTTTTTGGCTGTGCTGCACAGCATGTGGCATCTTAGTTCCCCAACCAGGGATCAAACCCATGCCCCCTGCAGTGGAAGTGCAGAGTCTTAACCACTGCACTGCCAGGCCAGTCCCAGTGGGGGTTTTTTAATGTGAACATTAATTTTTTAATGTATTGTCTCAAACTATTTTTCACATATGGTAATAAGTATTTTTTTTTCACTAGAATTTTTTAAATTGTACATAAATTTTTTTTAAATTTTATATAGTCTAATATATTACTATTTTTATGATTTCTCTTTCTACTTGTATTCTTAGAAAGTAGACAGAAACTTCATCTAAGTAGCTGTCTAGTATTACAATATATGGAAATACCATAATTTACTTAACTAATTTACTGTTGAGGATATCTGAACCTTTAGGTTTTTTCTGGTTTTCACCTGCAATAAATTGTGGTCCAGTTTGTTCATATCTCTTTGCATGATCAAAGTATACATGTCTTTTAAGTTTCATGAACATAACAACAGGCTGTAATACCAGTGGTAAACAATATATGAGAATACCTGTTTCCATACATCTTCACTAATAGTATTTTGGGTTTGTTTTTATATTTTCCAAGCTGTGGGGTGAAAATTGAGTTTTGTTTAATTTTTATTTTGCAGACTACTTGTGAGGTTGTGAATACATGTGTTTAAATCCATTCAGGGTTTATACTCTGTTAGTGATGTCTTCATTCCTATTGCCCACATTTCTGCTGGGTCATATTTCCTTGCCTGTATATAGCATGAATGTAAATCCTGTTTTATAAATGTGATATTTTTTCCCCCAATTTCCTGTGGCTTGAAAGGTTGCATGTGGTGTTTCTTGCTATCCAGTATTTTAGATTGTGTGGTAGCTTCATTTATAGAAGCTTTAGCTTTGATTTTTGTTTCATTCATGGTTTTTTGTTTCTGTTAATAGATATATTACTCCCATTTGTACTGTACAACAAATTTATTTGGTCTTGTTTCTGTTGCTTATTTAATTCTTCCTTGTTTCTCTCCATGAATACATTATTAAGTCTTTCTATCCATGAACACAGGATGTTTTTCCATTTATCTAGCTCTTAATTTTATTAAGCAATGTTTGTAGTTTTCAATGTACAGTCTTGCACCCTTTAAGGTAACTTTATTCCTCAATAATTTATTCCTTCACTGCTATTTTTCATGGAATTATTTTCATAATTTCCTTTTCAGATTGTTCATTCCTAGTGTATGGAAATACAGCTGATTTTTGTGTGTTCATCTTGTATACTGCAGTTTTGATGACTTGATGTATTAGCTCTAATACCTTTCTTGTGGATTGTTTAGGGTTTTCTATATATGGGATGATATCATCAGCAAGTACAGTTTGTTTTTTTTTCCTTTCTAATTTGGATGCCTTTTATTTCTATTTCTAATTGCTTGGGCTGGAACTTCTCAGGTATCTTTGTCTTGTTATTGACCTAAGAAGGAAAGCTTTCAGTGTTTAGATGCCATTTAAAAAAAAAAAACACTTTATTTTCCTTTTTTAAAGATCATCTTTTCCCAGACATCTGACTCTCTGCATCATCTCTCTCCCCATCACCACTTTGATCTCTGTACATTTATTGTGATATAGCTCTACTTGCACAAGTTTTTGGTACATGCTAAGTGATTTAGCAAAGGGATTTCAGACATAATCATTCCTCCCTGCAAGCTTGTAGTCTGAGGTAAGCCATATACCCAATCAGTGGTGTGTATGATGGAATTAAATATAATATCAGCACTCACTATTTTTTTATAAAAACCGTCTCTCCAGAATGAGAAATTCCATTACTTAAATGGCCAGAGAAGAGGTGAGGATTTTGTCAGGCTTGCAGAAGCAAGCAGATCAGTGTAAAAATGATTTCTATGTGACCGCTGAACTTTAGCCATCAGTTGGCACTGTAGGTTCTGTTGAAATCAGTCAAATAAGATACAGTTGATAGAAACACCATTTCTGGTTGTAGGGGAGTGATTGGGCTTTCAGGACACTTAATGAACATCATAGCATACACTGTGCTTTTGTGTTTGGTGTGCTTCTTGGAACAACTTTGGTGACATGATGACTGCCCTGGCATCAAAGCTGCATAGCCAGGGCTGAGAAAGGGTGAAGAGAATGACTGTCATAGACTGTATTTTTAGGTGATGTGATTGCAGAACATTTTTCCGACTCCTGACACTTCTGATGTGTGACTGATTCCACATACGTTTAACTTTTTTTCTATTCACCTCTCTTGGGTTCCCGTATGAATCCAGTCTGGGGTCGTCTTACATACATTGTAGACTGCATGTTCACATGTTTTAGAGGTGCACAATTTATGTGGTTTAATTAGGGTTTAATTCACCAATTAGTTTCTTCACAGTTTTCCTTTTAGTAGATTCCTTTTCTCCCAGCCTATGATAAAAGAAATGTTTGTTTCTTGTTTATTTTCTTGATATCTTTCAGGCCAGAAGTCTATACATGAGACCCAGGAGTTATTTCCGAAGCAGGATTCATTTGCTGAAGTGGTAATGGACAGAACTTCAAACACTAACCTAGAGAGTTCCACTTTCAGAGGAAGCTGGGATTCTGAGGAAAGGAAGCTGGCAGGTCAGAAGACACAATTCAGGCAGGAGGCAGTCACTCACAACAAAACCCTCTCTAAGGAAAGAGAGTGTCCATATAACAAATCTGGAAGATGGTTCCACTTGGACATTTCAGAAGAGAGAGTTCACCGCTGTGATTCAGTTAAGAAAACTTTCCCCCCAAGTTCAGTGGTAATAAAACATGCAGGAATCTATGCAGGAAAAAAACTTTTCAAATGTAATGAATGTAAGAAAACCTTTACCCAGAGCTCATCCCTCACCGTGCATCAGAGAATTCATACTGGAGAGAAGCCCTATAAATGTAAGGAATGTGGAAAGGCCTTCAGTGATGGCTCATCCTTTGCCCGACATCAGAGATGTCACACTGGCAAGAAGCCCTACGAATGTATGGAATGTGGGAAAGCCTTCATACAGAACACATCCCTTATCCGTCACTGGAGGTATTATCACACCGGGGAGAAACCCTTTGACTGCATCGACTGTGGGAAAGCCTTCAGTGATCACATCGGACTCAATCAGCACAGGAGAATTCATACTGGAGAGAAGCCCTACAAATGTGATGTGTGTGACAAAGCCTTTAGGTACGGCTCATCCCTGACTGTCCATCAGAGAATTCACACAGGAGAAAAACCGTACGAATGTGAGGTGTGTAGAAAAGCCTTTAGCCATCATGCTTCACTCACTCAGCACCAAAGGGTGCATTCTGGAGAGAAGCCTTTTAAGTGTAAAGAATGTGGGAAAGCCTTTAGGCAGAATATACACCTTGCTAGCCATCTGAGGATTCATACTGGCGAGAAGCCCTTCGAATGTGGGGAATGTGGTAAGTCCTTTAGCATCAGTTCCCAGCTGGCCACCCATCAGAGAATTCATACTGGAGAGAAGCCCTATGCTTGTAAGGTCTGCAGCAAAGCTTTCACCCAGAAGGCTCACCTGGCGCAGCATCAGAAAACTCACACAGGAGAGAAACCCTACGAGTGTAAGGAGTGCGGGAAGGCCTTCAGCCAGACCACACACCTTATTCAACACCAGCGAGTTCACACGGGAGAGAAACCCTATAAGTGCATGGAATGTGGGAAGGCCTTTGGTGACAACTCCTCCTGCACTCAGCACCAGAGGCTTCACACTGGCCAAAGGCCCTACGAATGTATTGAATGTGGGAAGGCCTTCAAGACAAAGTCGTCCCTCATCTGTCATCGCAGAAGTCACACTGGGGAGAAACCTTACGAATGTAGCGCGTGCGGCAAAGCCTTCAGCCATCGGCAGTCCCTTAGTGTCCATCAGAGGATTCACTCTGGAAAGAAACCGTATGAATGCAAGGAATGCAGGAAAACCTTCATCCAAATCGGACACCTCAATCAGCACAAAAGAGTGCACACGGGAGAGAGACCCCACAACCATAAGAGAAGCAGAAAGGTCTTCAGGCAGAGCACACACTTTGCACATCAGAGAATCCACACTGGAGAGTCACCTGCACGCCCCTCTTTACCTGCTACATCAAATCCTGTGGATCTGTTACCCAAGTTTCTCTGGAATCCACCCTCACTCCCATCACTATAGTCCTGAGACGTTGTGACTCAGATAGACCACTCCAGCAGTTTAAAACCTGTTCTCTTTCTGTCTATTCTGTTCTTGTCCTGTACAAGTTTTTTTTTCACATTGTTGCAGTTAGAACGTGGAGATTTTTGTTTTAAGTGAAAATAGGATTCATTTACTTCTCATGTAAACACTTACATTGAGATCCTTCATATTGATTAATGCATAAGATGTGTGTAGCACAATGGCTGGTCCATACTAAGCATTCAGTAATGTTAGCTCTTTTAAAAACATTGTTTTCAGACATTGAGAAGTTACCATAGGCAACTCTGACTGAAAATGATGCATAGAATGAAGCTAAGAGAGCCAGATTTTAGATCAGGAACAGGCGTTTCAAGACAGACAGTGAGGCTTTGCCTGTTCTGGTTTAAAACTTGATTCCATAATGTTGAGTTAGTATTATAGCTTTTCATTTATCTGCATAAAGTGTAAGGTGCTGTGACCTTGTTGGTGAGAAAATTACATCTGACAACAGTCTTAGAAAGTGTGTAGAGGACATGGGTGAGGAGGCGTCCTGGAAGAAAAGAACTGAAACAATCAGAGGAGAAGACAAGTTTCACCTGCGTACGGTTAAACCTTCTGACATGTATTAGAAAATTTGGCAAGATTTGATCATTTAAAGTCACCTGGGCTTATGCGTGAATTCCATTAAAGTTTCAAAGTACCACTAACCTTGAGGCAGACTAATCTTGACTGATTCATGGCCAGAGCCTCACTGACTGTTTCGTATGGCCCATGATCTGAATTTTAAAAATTATTTTAATGGAGGAACAAGTGAAAAGAATAATAGCTTAAGACAACGTGAAAATTATATGAAATTTAAATTTCAGTGTCCGTAAATAAAGTCTTGTTGGCTCACAGCCATGCTCATTTGTTTACATACTGCCTAGGGCTGCTTTCACTCTACAATAGCAGACCTGAGTAGCTGCAACAGAGACAGTCTTGCCTGCAAAACTTCAAATATTTACTCTCTGTCCTTGTGCAGAGAAAGCGTGCCGACTCCTGCTCCACTGCAGAGAAAAATGCACAAAAGGTTCTAATTGTTTCTATGAGGATAATACAACTCTCCCATCAAAAACAAGAAAAACTATAAAGCAACTTATGAATAGAGGTGAAAGAATGTTATTAAACTGTTGACTAGGAAATGCCAATAAAAAGAAATACTCTATTTTTCTAGGTGAAGTAATACTGTTAAAATGTTTGTAAATTGTCACTCCCAACAGAGTCCCAGTAGGGTATGTTTGCTCTGACAGTTTTAGTTGAAAACCACGCAAGGAAGGACGATTTGTCAAACATAGCAGGACATTTAAAAAATGTTTTGGTGGGACTTCCCTGGTGGTCCAGTGGTTAGGACTCTGTGCTTCCATGTCAGGGGGTGCAGGTTCGATCCGTGGTGGGGGAGCTAACATCCCGCATGCCTCATGGTGTGGCCAGAAAAAAAAAAAAGAATCGTTGAAAAAATGTTTTGGTATATAATAAGATTAGTGTTTCACTATTGGGGAAATGATGTTGTAACGATTATCCACTCTCCAAAAAGAGAAGCATACCTAGACCTTACAGAGAAATATAATACAGTTGTATTTACTGGCTCTAATTATGAAATAATATGTTAGAGGCAAACACAGAAAGGAGGAAGGCTTTACTGAGTAGGACATGGAGCCCTGGAAGACATGAAGAAAGTAAGCTGGCCTGTACAAAGATTTAAATAAACTTTGACATGGTGAAAGGTGTCAAAAAAGATGTAAGGGGCAACTGGCAGAAAATACAACACATGAAAAAATATGTCATTTAAGAGCAGAGTGCTATGACACAAAGCAGTCGGGGAACTAGGCAGTGCTTAACAACAGGCGTGTCACAGTGGAAGAACTCGAATAAAGAAAATTCATTAGGTTCTTAACCTCGTTGCTCAGAAAATTACAGATTTAAAACGAATCTTCTTGACTCGCAGATGGATTAAAATCTAAACTGCAGTTAATTTCCCATACTAGTTATTGTGGGAAAACAAGAGGTTGTTCATCATTACCAGTGTAGATTTGTCTTCTCCTGTTTGGGGTGGCAATATGGCATGACCTATCCACACTATAAATATGCATTCCTTTTGAAACAGTAATTCTGGATCGAGGAGTTTCATCCCAATGGAATGAATATATAGATATAAATAATGTTTATTGCAAAATCTTTTTAATTACAACAAATAGGATTTCAGTATCCTGCCAAGCAGATTGATTAAATTGTGATTATTCAATACAGTATTGTCCAGTTAGCAGAAAGAGATTAAGCTCTACATATGCTCCTATGGAGTATTGTCTGTCCACAATATATTAAATGCAATATGTGATTTGCAGAACTTTATGTGTAAAATAATCTTGTAGTCATAGAGTCAAAATTAATATTGAATATATGTGCGCGTGTATATGTGTGTGTGTCTATATTTTTTTCAGTATATATGTTGAAATCTGTTTTTGTCTTTAACACATGCTTTTCCTAGCTCTTTGTTGGTACTTTGCCTTCATTCTGTATTGTTCTGTTGGAATGCCAGTCACACATGGCTCTAATTAAGCCAGTCAGGTTTTTCATTCTTTGTATTTTGACCGGAGAAACGGGGCTTTATGTATGGGCCATAAGGGATGTTTTCTTTTAGTATTCATTTTGATTGGTTGGGCCACTTGTTGTAACAGCTATTATAAAGATATGGAACATCACTCCTGGACTGCAAATACGTGGAATTGAGTCATCCTTTGGCAGCAGCCTAAAGATTTCTGCATCTCTACCTGTCTGATCCATTAAAATGATTCCTGAATCCTCACATCCTAGTTTTGTTTGGTTCTTTAAATCTTCAAGGTATCTGGTATCCTTTCAATATTTAACTTCTAAACTGGAGTCATCTTTTATTCTCATACAGAAATTGGTACTAGAGGATGATTCTCAGACTACAGAGAAGCAGAATATTAATGGCTGATTGAAAGAGGTTAAAAGACAGAGAAACTTGTAATCCTGTGTTGTGTTAGGAAAGGATAGTCATGATGTAGCAGGATCATAAGCCCACTTCACACAAGGGACTGGATAGCTTTCACCAAAAACTAAACGCAGTGAGCAATGCTAGCTCCAAAAGTAAGTGTGATGCTTGTTTACAATGAAATTAGATAATTAAAAGTGAAAGGCCACTTGAAATTCTGACCTTACGAAAGGCATTGAAGTCAGAACTTTCTATGATTGTGTTGGGAGTCTTCTTAACCGGTTCTAACTACGGGGCTGGCAAATCCTGAAAGCCAAGTGCAACAGTAGATCCAGGTGTTTGCTGAGTTATGATACTTACTGAATTTCCAACCTCGCCACTTCTCTTAAATGAAAGTGAAGTGTGGGGAAAGATTTGAATCCATGTAACTGGAATGGGGCTATCACGGAAGATTCAAGCATCTTAGAAAACTTCTGACTCTCAAACCTTAAGAAACCTCCCTACTCATTCTCTTTGCCATACATCTGTGACAAAACTCTTGAGTCTGCTTTTCTAGTCTTGAAATGCAGACACGGAGGAGATTCATGTCATCCAGAAATATTTAATATCCTTTATTATACTGTGATGAAAGAAATGGAAGAACAGCTTCAGGGCTAACAGCACATTTTGGCTTCTGTAAGAAACTTGCTTGCTTGCTTGGGGCGGGAAGAACCGGGTTCCTGATTGGCTGATTCAAAATTAAACAGCTCCCTCCCGCCTTGGGGACTTCCCGCCCTGTGAAGGGTATAAAAGCCTCGCCCGGCTGTTAGTCGGGGTCTCACTCACTTCTCTCCGAGTGGGACCCTGTCCGGACAGTTTGTGTAAGCTTCTATACTTGTACTCGTATAAATCCTTTGCTAATCTTTCTGCTTGGTGTTGGTGATTCTCGGGTGTCCTTGGTTGGGACACGGGTCGCATTTACCGGGGAACTCGACTCCAGGCGTGTGACTCCCGGACCACAACAGGCCAAAGCACTAGTTACTGGGGAGTAAGAAGACTCAAATCTTGGGTGCCCTCCCACGCCAATTTCAAGAGCAGGGTGTGTTTTTCAAATCCATATTTCATCTGGTCTTTGTTTCTCATCCATCCTTCTCTGTCTGCCTTTCTCAAGAAGGCTCAGATCCTCCGCTTTCACACCCTCCCGGCTGGCTGTGCCCCACTTCCCGTCCTGAAACCTCTGCATGCATGGGTGTGCCTGCTCTCCCTGTGCATCACCAGCTTTGCCAGGGAGCTGCTGTATCGTGCACTGCTTGCCGTACCCCAGAGTACCTAGACCGTTCTGGTGCATGAAGTACACTCTCATCACCATGAGTGCACGCCCATCCCCTTACCTTATATCCTGCCTCTAAGCCAGGCTTGGGGGTGACTACAGTGTGCGTTCAGCTATGTGAGCTGCTGGGATGAAAGTGAAGTTCCCAACTTTTGAAGTTGCAGGCTTGAGGGGCACACAGTGCTTTAAAGTCGGGTCACCTGGCTTAAAGGGGGACTGATTGAGTTAAAGCCAGGGCAGCTGACTTAAACCCCGATTCTCTCAGCTGCAGGACGAGACCAACTAGGGTGGTGCACGGGTTCGCTCCAAGCCAGCACTGCTGTTCAGGAAGAGCTTCCAGTAGCGCCTTAGTGCAGGGGGACTTGGTGCGTTATCTTGCTGCTGCCCTCAGAGGGGGTCACCTGCTCTTCCGGAGGAGAATCAGGGAGGGGGAAGTGCAGAGTCCCGGCTGGAGTTGCGGCACCCCTTGTCTGATGGCAGGGAAGGGGGGCGGGGCTGTATGGTGTCCTGGGGCTGGACTCACCAGGTCGACTCAGCCTCTCAGCCTCCTAACCTCCCCCCACACACCCCACAAGAGTTTCAATAATATGTAATTGTGCCATAGGTTCTCGGTCTTCAAACTCATACCCAGGCTCCCAGGTTCCTTGCTTCATCCAATTCCTCTGTGCTCTTTCTTCTATTAGATACAGTCCCAGAGGG